CTTGGGCGGGGGGCGGGTCGCCGTCACCGTCGGAGGGGGAACGGGGCGGAGGAGGGGCGGAAAAGGCTGACGGGAGGAGGAGGAGGAGGAGGAGGTGGAGGAGGAGGAGACCGTAGCCATTTTGGCTCAAGCCATTTCGGCTCAAGTCCGTGGCCATTGTCGAGGTGGCTTGACAATAAGCCAAAGCCTTAAGGGTAGGTAGGCACCACGGCCTCGCCCTTGGACTGGCCCGAGTTTCGGCATCTATTCAGTTCTTTCCTACCACATCTCGTTGTTCTTGGCCCAAGCGGGACGCCCCGCTCCAGAACACATATGCAAGCCTCGGCCACATTACATGTCATCGAAAGACTGGACATGCGAGAGGTGCAATCGTCTCAATTCATCACAATTCTGGCGCTGTTGGTGTTGGCACAAGTGGCGGCATCGCTCTGCAAGTCGTGGACGCCGCCAAAACCGCCCACGCACCCCGTCACGTTCGATACGACAGCAGCAGGGCCCCCCGCCGCAGAACTACGCGGGCATCAAACACAGAGCGCGCCCGCAAAAGGGCCGCAAAGAACCAATCACAACCAACGAGGTCCGCCAGCTCATCGACACGACGCCGCAAGCCTCCAGGGAGAATGCGGAGAAGCACAAGAACTACCTGCGCCCGCCCACAACGCCGGCGCAGATGGAGGCCTGCAAGAAGGTCACGGCGCAGAGGGCAGAGATCCTTGCCACTCTGGTCCTTGCCACTCGGAGGAGTGGCAGCGAGGACGAGGACACCCTAGAGGAGTTGGCCATGGTCAAGTACAGCATTGCCTCCATGCAGCCTGCGGCTGCAGATCGTCTCGACGCAGGGAGCCAGCCAGTGGGAGATCGCCCCCCTGGACCCTGCCCTCCTGGTGGCCACACAGCCACGTATGCCCACTCAGACGGAGCAGATCAAGGGCTCCAACAGCTTAGACGAGTTCTGAACCTCTCCGAGAAGGATGTCAAGAGCGACGACCTCGGCGAAGCCAGCTGGCACTACATGAAGTCGGAACATCACGAGCAAGCACTACCAGGGTCAGCGAATGAGCAGCCGCGCTCGCCCGTTCAGCCTGCGATGTCCCAATCCTGATTTCAATTCGATGGCCTGACCCTCCACGGGACCTCGGAGGATCTCGCCCAGCGCGCAACCACAGCTGGCTGCACCCTAACACTTAGTACGATGCAACTTGCAGCAGCACGGGCAGTGCTTTTCCTGCATAGCCTCCCCTACGAAGCTGGGGGAGTCGGGGGGGGGGAATCCAGGGGACCAGGAGCCCCCCCCCCTCAAGCAGGCCTGCCCGTAGTATACAGCGGGGTATTTCAGAAGTTGAATATTACGAGCCACACAGTAGGATCTATGATCATGAATTAGAGATTGAGCTTCACCCCCCTCCTCCCCGGGCGTCCGCTGGTGAATGCATTCGGGAAGGCCCCCCCCTACCCCTGGGGCGAAATCCCCCGACCCCGTTTGGACCCCCCCCCGCTAGCCAGTCGGTGAGCGCTCCTGTCACGAAAAGCCCTGCCCATCGTCGGTCGCAACAAAGCGATGGCATCAGCGATACGTTGAGCGAGCCGTTTGCCTGTCAGGAACGCGGGGGGATGGGGTGCAGTTGGGAAGAAGCTGATCGGGATGAGCACGAGAGAGGGGATTACGCTTTAGAGCACCGTGTCCAGGCTACAGGCGCTGGACTCCCAGCGGAGAGCTTCTGCGAGCTTGATGTCATTTCGCCCATCCTCTTTGTGCTTTCCACCGCGCCCGCCCCTTGTTCTAGAGATCGTTCCTGAGCAAAAACTTCGAGACTCGGGTTGTTTGGAGGAGGTCCCTAGAATTGCTCTGACCCTGGCCCCACCGAGGGTTATTGTTCCCACCAAGTTCACTATATACACTGACGGGTCCCATTTCATGAGGGGGGGGCCCAAAGCTGCCTGGGCCTTTGCGGTGGTGGCCGAGAACCCCCAGCGAGTTTCTGTTTGGGGCACGCGGAGTGGAATCTTGAAAGATACCAACGCCATGGGAATAACCCCGTCGGAAGCCACTAGCACGACTCTTGAACTCTTAGCCATCCTTTGGGCCAGTCTGTGGATTGTCACTGCTCCTTTTGATGATGTGATACGCCAACGTCAGCGACTCGCTCTGCGCGACCAACGCTGCGGAGGGACCCGACATTCCGAAGAGCGATACTACTTTAGCTCGCCTGACTAGGGTCACTCGGCAGCTTGCGGGCATGAGGCGACGGCGCGCGAAAGCTCACGAGAAGTCTCACGCTGGCGTCCACTGGAATGTGCTCGCGGATAATTTGGCTAAAGCCACCGCCCGCAAACTCCCGCCCCCCCCCCGCCCCCTCCCAACTTACGTCCTCAATGGGTGGAGGCCGCGAGGCACGGCCCTAGTCGGGCCTGAGAGTGGCTGGACCTGGCCCAATGCGAAGGTAGGATACCAGGAGATGTCTACCCTAGGGCGACGATGGAAGGCGGTCTCGGTTCTTTGAGGGGCCCCCTTCCTGAGCGCGGGAGCGCCGCTGCCACTGACCGCCCTGAAATTCAAGACGTGGATGAGCATGCTGCGCCCCGCCCAGCTAAGCCCGTGCAGGTCCAGCTCACCACCGCGACCTTCAATGCCCAATCGCTGCGTACGGACGCGAGGAGAGGCACTCGAGGAAGGAACCGCGTTGCTCGCCAGCAGCTTTGTTGCACCCAGCTCGCAGGAGAGCGCGCCCACCTTGCTGGCATCCAGGAGAGTTGAAACGTGCAAGGAACTAGACGCCAAGGAGATTACGCTGCGTTCGCTGTAGGACACGATCGGTTCAACCTGGGGGTGGAATTATGGGTCAACACCGTTCTCCCATATGCTCATCGCGGTAGCACCCCCCTCTGCCCTGCTCGACATCACGTCCAGTTGCTGCATCTCTCCCCGCGCATCCTGGTTGCCAAGTTGGCTGTCCCTGCGTTGGCTCCTACCCTGTATGTTTGTCACGCCCCTCATATGGGCGCTGACACAATGGCCCGGGGTCAGCACTGGAGGGAGTTAGACGCCTTGCTACAAAGGTGGCCAACGGATCTTTGCTTTATGGACGGGAATGGGAGGATTGGGGCGATCCCTAGCCCTGCGGTTTCGACTGCCGGGCCAAGGCCGGAGGAAGATGCCAGTGGCAAGGCGTTACACGCCCTCCTCCTCGCCCACCAGCTCGCTGCCACCCATGCTTTTTGCCGCAAAGGGGACGGGCGCACCTTTACTTACAAAAAGAGCACGCACCATCGCATCGATTACATCATCACCCAGCAGCGCCGCCCCCAAACCCTTCGTGATACCCATGTTCTTCACAATTGGGAGAGCACGTGAGAAGCGGATGACCATTTTCCGCTCATTGCTACGTTTGGCTGGAGTCAGACTTTTAAGAAGGAGGGAGCTCACGACCCAAGAGTGGGCACCAACCAGTTGTCGAACCCTGCTGCGCGCTCCGAGCTCGCTTCGGAGGCAAGCGTCACAAGGCCCCTATGGTGACCCCCATTGAGGGGGGCCCCCGGTGGGAAAGCAATTCAGACCCCCTTGGAGGACGCTCGTGACACGCGGAAACATTTCGCGAAGATAGAAGGAGGTAAGGATGTCACGCTCGAGCATGCCCACGATCGGCATAACAAGTCCCCTTCATCCAGCAACACGTGGGAGGGCATGAGACATTTAGACAACCTTGCGACTACCCAGGAGCTGGAGCGTCTGATCTCCAACACCCCCAGCACGAAGGCCCCAGGGCCTGACCAAATCAACAACGATGTGCTGAAGGCCGCCCCGAGCGAGGCGGCCCGTGTGTTGCGCCCCCTCTCGTTGAAGATGCGCGTGCTCCGAGAAGAACCCCATGTGCTTCGCCTTGGTCAAGTTGTTTCTTTCTACAAGGGGAGAGGGGGGCATCACTCTTGCTGCTTCTATGCGCAATATCATCCTTTCCAACACCATCCTTAAGGTGCGCCATAAGTTTGTCCGAAGCCGTGCTAAGGAGATTATTTTCGGCCTTCTTAGGGACGAGCAGAGGGGGGGCAGGCCTGGGGCGGGGACTGACTTCGCCTGCCTCGCCGCGCGCATGCGACTGCATTTGCTCGCCAGTCGCGGTCGTTCTGCTGTCGTTGTTTTCCTCGACCTTGTTGCTGCGTTCAATAGCATTGCCAGGCAGGTTCTTTTGAGCCTTCCTTCTGACCAGGACCAGATTCCCCAGGCGATTGACGAGTTGCCCACACACCCCGCTTTCCGTCTGACGGTGCTCCGTCTTGCCGAGCGTCCGATCCTGGAGGGCGCCACGGGCGATCGTCACCTCATGGAGTTGTTGCGCGGCGCTCAGGCGTGATCGCGGCGGCAATATCGCGGGGCTGAATCTTACGTTTTTCCCAGCTTCGGCACCAAACCTGGGACCGTTTTTGCCTGATGTTTTCAATATTGCCGTCGCGCCTATTTCTGGCGGCATTCAGGACGACATGTGGCAGGCCGGCCCCATGTCCTCGATCCCTCCCTCTGAAGGGCCCTTTTGCGGGCACCCAGAGTGACGATGGGCAGCCTGGCGCTTCTTCTGCTTACGTTGATGACCTCACGCTAATTGGAGATTGCGGCGATGCGTTTCAAGTTCCCCACATTGCCTCGAAGATGTTAGCTATTGTCTATCACCAGGTTACTTCCCAAGGTCTGCAGTTGCACGCCACCAAGACTGCAATCTTGTTTCGTCTTGTTGGGAAGAACGCCAAGAAGCAGATGCTTCGCGCCTTTGCGCTTGACGATGGTAGCGATCAAGTGGTGTCAGAGACCCATGGCGTCTGCGTCAAGGTTGTTCGCCATTTCAAATTGCTGGGCTCGCTCCTTAGTGGGAAGGCGTCTCAGAACCACGAAATCGCGTATAGGGGGAGCCAGATGCCCGCGGAGCTCAAGCCCATCAAGTGCTCCCTGGCCCCTCGGAAGGCGCCGCCCAATGCTAGCAAAGTGCGCTATGCTGAGAGCTATGCCGCCC